CCTAAGGGCATGCCTAGCCTGACGACCAGATATGAACATCGCCTCCACAGGAGCGGTCGGTTCGCTTTGACTGGGCGACGCACAAGGCAAACCATTCGAGTTCAACCTGACTTCATTCGTCCGGAAGTTTATGTCTGGATTGTTACGCGTTAACCAAGGTTTCCCCAATATAGCGTCATAGCGATGAAGGGGGAACACCGTGAAGGTTTGGTTATCGCTGAAGTCGCCTACGATAACCTTCAATTCATGGGTCGTCTCCATGGGAAACGAGCTTGATGCTCCATCAGCCAGCGTGACATTCAGGTTTTCCGAGCCAATTTCGGTTGGCAGGTTAACTCTCCTGGCAAACTGTTCGGCAATGAAATCATGGGTCGAGCCCGAATCTATTAACATAAGCGCGCGACGACCGTTGATTTTGCCTTCTACACGCAGGAGCTCATGTTCCGTTTCCACATTGACGCTGGTAACCTGGGCCTCAATAGTTGGTGTAACATCTTGCTTGAAATTGGCTTCGGAGCATTCAGCATCATCGTCAACATCCTCCACAGCGAGGCTACTGAATCGGTTACGGGTAGAGACGGAGCACACACTACACGCAGGTGATGCCTTTTCTTGCTGCGTCAGTAATCGCATCGGCCTTACTGACGTCCACCGTTTGGGTGATCTCGATGCTGCGGGCAATTCTGGGCCATATGGCCTGGTCGACGACATGCGAAGCAGCCCCCCTGGGCTCGTAATGTCTCACGTTCCTCGGGGCTTAGTTTTGTTAGCTTTTTGCTACCTGATGGTGGTGCGAATCCCCGCGCGGTCGCCAGTGGTGGTCTGCGCTGAAATCGGCTGTCTGAGGCGACTGCTAGCGCTGACTGAACGGCGGCTGACAGTGTAGTGGGGTGTTCCTTCACTACCAAGGTCCGCATGTTACCGTGCAGGCCGTTGACAAATAGCAAGGCTCTGGAGAGTTCGTCAAGTTCCGGCACCTGTAAACTTAGCCGAGAAAACTCCGTTACGTACGATTCAATTGACCCACGCTGTTGGATAGAGAACATATCCAACCGCACTCTTTCCCCATCATAGTGCGGGCCATACACTCGCGCTAGGGCGCTTTTCAAAGAATGCCAATCCGAAAATTGCTCACCTGCTTCCAGGGAAGAAATTAGCCAAAGACGCGCATTCCCAGCAAGATAGCTAGCCGCAAAGTTAACTTGGCTCTCCGGGTCACCTTGAGGTGAGCACTTCAAGGCTAACTCGACCGTAAATACCCATTCTTTGAACTCGGAAGGGTTGCCATGGAAAACATTCGGTTCTCTGGTAACGCGTTTGACGCTCGGGCTTGTCTGGGAGAGAGAACGCGATCGACACGGGGCTAGATCCGGAGGACTTGAGCTTGATGTAGCAGGTAATTGATGTCGTCCAACTGTAGCAGCCACGTTGTCCCGAGCGCGGCGGATCTCACGGAAAGCGGCGTATAGCAGAGCAGTAGCGGCCAGGAGCACAAGGCACGTCAAAGGGCAAACGATGATCTCAACCATCCTCAAGCTACCAGTGTAACAGTATAGACTTGATTGATTGGAGAATTCGTCGAATGATGTTCAAACCAGAGGTTATAAAGCAAAAGAAAGGTGAGAACCGCAGGAGTGAGAATAGTAGGAACACAAGGTGTTACCATAAGACAAGCAAGAAGTGTCAAGGTAAAACTATTACAAGTGGTGTCCTTAGTGAAGTGACTATTATTGTATGCATCTGATGACGTCGCCACTTCACGCCAGAATACAACAAACATCTGCTGGACGTTTTTGATCCCTTCTCTTATGGGCAATACAGGGAATGAAACGAATAATGCAATAGACCCTTTGCACAATAACGGTCAAGTGATCCGATACGGGGCATCCTCGTCGATTTTTGTGCAGAGTATCAGTTGTTGAGCATGGTGAAACACTGTATTTTTCCATTTTGGAGATGGAGGAGAGAGTGTCGAGTGGTTTCCCATCAATGGCTGTGGACGAACTGTCAAATGAAGAATGGTCTGCGAAGGAACTGAACAGTTTTCTGCCGAATGAGAGTGCGTATCTGTCTGGAAAAAGTAGAAGTTGTTGGAGCGGTACGTTTTCCGCATTCAGTGGATATTTCGGATTACTGTAGTTTGAAATTCCTTTTCCTTTTCTCTACCTCTCCTCTGTCGATGTAGAGAACACTTCTCTATGCAGAACCCTGATGCTTCTAGAAATAAGAAGGGCACCACTTCCTCGAGTGTACCGTCAACATGCCCAACATTTCATGCGTCCCAGTGGATGAATGATGAACCTCTGTTTCCCAGAGTGAGCGCCACACCATTCTTACTTATCTCCAACGCAGGGGAAAGTCGCTGACGACAGTGGAGGAGGAGCTGATGGAGACCGAAACGTTGACACGATAGTGTGAAATGCAGTGCTCTCTTGAGTGTAGGCAGGTTGCCTGCAAACTAACCGGGGAAGTGAACTGCCTGAAAAGAGAAAAACTGCCAGACCCACCAGGACTCAAACCCAGGACCTTGCTTGTCATGAGCAATGCTCTAGCCACTGAGCTATGGGGACCAGGCTGAACCTAGAAGGCGTTGACAAGTTTTTCACTCCTAAGGCAGCTCATAACACGTGCCACACAAACTGATGGCGCGTGGGTCTTTTTCCCTCACCCAGGGGACCAACCACGATAAGTTTCGGGAAAACTACTACAGTTTAAAGAACCCGGATTTAGAGCCAATTAAATTATGGTGAAAAAGAGAGAACAAAATGTTACGAAAAGGCGACGTGGAGACAATAATCTTAACAATGCAATGAATATAACTAAATGCGCACTCATATCACAAGCATGGGGACGAATAATGTATTCCAGAACGTTTTCTTGTCACAATTATCAATGGAATTCGTGACTAAAGAGAATGATGAAACTAAAATAGGATTATTGTATTGTAATTTCATCATTCTCTTGAGTCACGAATTCCATTGATAATTGTGACAAGAAAGCGTTCTGGAATACATTATTCGTCCCCATGGTTGTGATATGAGTGCGCATTTAGTTATATTCATTGCATTATTAAAATGTTACTTGGTCCGACTTATTAAAATGTGCGCTTCACTTCAAAACTCAAGCATAGGTACAAAGGAGCACCTGTACTAAAAAATCAACCAAGAGACGGTAGATAGATAACTACTGTGTCGTTTCTTGGCCTGACCTTCTAGTTTTCATCGCTGCTGGTGTCTCAGGGCGCATCTGCAAGTGCGTCAACCTGCAAAACGTCGACATTTTTTTCATCTCCTCCAAGCTACACTGCGCTTTTTTGATTTTTTCACTCCATAGGCACGATTTTCACGATCGACTTCGCCTCCTCCTCGTGCAGTGCGACTACCAGAATGGTGGCTGTAGGTGTTTTCGCCTGAAACTCCCACGACACCTTCAAATGAGGCGAACAAGTAGACCACCACGCATAAAAAATCACTTCTTTCCATCGTGTACAGATCTACCGCGCGCGTACTGAGTCCGATCTGTGTCGACATGTCATGCAGTCAGACCATGCATGCTTTTCCCTGCCTGTTTCACGAATCCACTGGCCCCGGAGACTGGCGATCTTGTGACACATCGAGATCGCGGCTCCGCGCACGGATCCCAGGACTCCGCACCGTATCCGCCGGATAATTCACCCTTTCTGAGCTTCAGTTTTCCAACCAGGTTGTCGGCTAAAAGTCGACCTCAAGGCCGGTTATTTATTTTGATCAACTTCTCGACGATCTCTTCTGTGATCTTGATTCGTCGGCCGCCACATCGTGAACGACTGCGAGAGAGATCAGCAAACTGGACGGAGCGACGCTGGTGCTTTCTGCACGAGTTTCTGGGTGACGCGTTTGCTGAAATTCTGCCAAGGAAACAGCGATTGCAGCGATTTCAATCCGCCAGGAGGCACTCGAGAACGATCGCCCAGGAGGTTCTGGTACTCCGTGACAATCCTCCATCGCAGCGGGGTGTTGATTTCAGCACCAGACCTTCTCTGTGTTGCGCGAGAAGCAACAGGAGTCCTCTGACGACAAAATTTGGACGCAAAATGCTCGAGTCGACTAGGATCCTGAGCCGCTGCCTCCTTTGGAGTTGGAGCCATTTCTTCTTCAACATCACAAATTGACAACTGAATGATAGTGTTAGATAGCTGGAAAGTTTATTCCGTCCTGAGGTTATTTGAATTTGTTTGGTTGATGTTCGAAGCGAAACGCACATTTTAATAAGTCGGACCAAGTACGAGTTATGACAAACTGTCCACCAACGTAGCCAGATCTTATACAGTCAGCGAGTGTGACAAAATGGCACAAAACTGACAAGGAGTACTGAGACATTCAGTTTTGTGCAATTTTGTCGCACTCGCTGACTGTATAAGATCTGGTTACGTTGGTGGACAGTTAGTCATAACTCGTAACATTTTGTCCTCCTTTTTCATCATAGTTTAAATTAAGTGACTCATTTTTGAAAGGATTGGAAGAACTTCAAATATAACGTCTTCGTCGTCGTCGTCGTAGTCCTCATCGTCGGGTTTTTGCCGCACACTAATGTAATGTTGCTCAATTTTACGTACTTCTCTATTGTTGGCATGATTGTGGTTTGTTCTCAGCTCCATTGTGGACCCAAACTTCAGTCGTCTTTAGGCCCCATTTCGAGGTGGTTCCCAGTTCCAAGGTGCCCGTAAGTTATGCAACAAGCCCTTTCGCATGGTTGTTGTAGACCGCAGACGAAACCTACTTGCAAAATTTGAGCGAAAGCGTAGAGATCCAGCAGCCCAGCTTTTCTGGTTTTTCAGACATCCTCTCTTAACTTAAGGGGAAAAAAACCGTCCGTACCGACGCAGTTGGCTTTATTGACTGTGTGGATTGCGTCCGTGATGACACTTCCTTCGAATATTTCAATTTTTCTAAAGACTTTTCCGTTCTGCTTCTTTCCCTCAAAGCAATGGATAATAAAATATGAAGATAGGTATCACTTACAGATTGCGTAGATTGCTAACGCCTTCAAACAACCCACTTGTTATCGGGATGCTATTGTATGATAAGTCCCTAGTAACAGTGCAGAATAATATGATGGTGAAATGTATCATATACCACAGTCAGTATCCATATTATCCGTACACCAAACTCTCAACACACAAACAGTCCTTGGCTACATCACGTACAGTAGATGTTCCGAATTTTCACGCAGGAGGGCATCATCAGGATATAGAATATACCCAGCCAATTAGGCATCCCCATGCAGAGTAGGGCTAAGGTACTCATTCACTGCCGGTTGGATACGTCTGAGGGTCAATAGCCTTCCTGACGGAATCCAGCAGAGTGATTGGGCGCAAATTACTGGTCGGTCCCCTCTTCTTGTTGGGCTTCTGCAGTTACTTCTCAAGATATAAAAAAATTCGAAGCTCCCCAGCAGCCACTTTGTTACATGGAAAACGCTACACACACCATCCTCAACTACAGTGGTCTCTTCGCTGCAAATTACAATATCCCGGTCATGAAGTTTTTTCAAATCATTGTGGAAAACCCAAATGCACACACTTACACGTACACACACACACACACAACGCCAAGAGAACAATAATAAAAAACCAAGAACCCAAAGAAAATAGACTCTGATGGAGAGCCAAGGATTAATAAAGCAACTGCACAGCAGAACTGGCAGCCATGGCCAGTCGAACAGGGTACTATGATCCTTGTGGCGTCGAGCAAAAGAGAGTGTCAGTGTACCTGACTTGTCAGATTCGAACTGTGCTGAACATTTCTCGTTCTCCGATTTCTGCTTTCATCCCGCGCACTGCTGAAACGTCTTCAGAGTACCACAAGACACTTTCTGGATTTGATTTTGAACGTCTCCCTTTCCTCTTTGGTTACCTCAAGACAGATAACTGTCATGTTCGTGTTTGGATAGCGCGATCGGCATCAGACCGGCCTGGAGGTACCGGTAGGGTCTAACCAGTGGTTGTAGTAATCCAGTGTAATAGGTAGCAGTAGTAGTGTGGTTTCCGTAGTCGTAGTTTTTCTTTTTTTGCCATGTCTGAGACGTCAGGCGAGCCGGCGACAAAACTGCTCTGCTCTCTGCGTAGTGTGGAGCAAAATGTGGCCAGCTTGCTGCAGACTTTGGCAACTTTTGTCAGCGAGTCGAGAGACCGGGAGATATGCCTCCCACGACGCTTGGATGAGCTCTCTGCACAAATCGTGGAGTTGAATAATAATAACTTTATTAGGATGACCCAAGGGCAAATCGCCTATCGAGGGGTTTGTCCTATCCTGTATCATGTTATCCTTTCACCCATTCACGGCATAGTCCTTCCCCTGCCTGTCGCCATGTATAGACGGTACATGACCTCTCACTACCCCCGTGCTAAGCACGATACCATGCTCTGCTGGGCATGGCCTCCCTGACTCTTCACTATATCTACACTCATCTGTCTGTAAAATAAACCACTTCCTTATGTCAGTACATGACACAACATGGTGTCAGAAGTTAGTCAACCAGGTCTACACTTCGAGTAGAAATGGCCAAGTTCGCGCCGCCTGCAGACTTTGATTTCTCCATTCCAGATGCCTGGCCGGCTTGGAAACGCCGGTTTGCGAGATATCGCCTCGCCTCAGAGCTCAACGCGAAAGACGAGAAAGTGCAAATCTCTACGTTGCTCTACTCGCTGGGCCCTGAGGCCGAAACTGTCTTCGATCAACTGGTATTCGACACCGTTGGAGACGAGGACAAGTATGACAAGGTCATGACGAAGCTGGACGCTTACTTTACGCCAGCATTGAACGTGTTTCACCAGAGGACCATCTTCGAACAGTGCGTCCATCTTCCAGGAGAGTCCGTGGAAGAATTTGTTCGGAAACTTCACGCAGCAGCGAAGTTCTGTGACTTTGGTGACCAGAAGGACAACAGAATTCGAGATCGCCTCGTGGCTCACATTCTGGATCGTCAAGTCGCCAAGGAGTTGCAGCTGATTGAGCCCGCAAAACTCACCCTCACGGACGCAGTTCTCAGGGCCAGGCAGGCCGAGAAAATTTCCGGAGACGTTGCAGCGCAAGCCGCCAGGCCGCAGGTCAATGCTGCATCCCGCTTTGGAGGAAAGCAGCAAGATGCAAGGAGTCGCCGCCAGCGCAGCGGCATTCCGTCGAAGCCTGCACCAACGCCGTCCACGCAGAGGAAGAGCGGCACTGCAGCTTCAACATGTCCGTGGTGTGGCCACGCTGGTTCGCACAAGAGTAACCGTTCTGCGTGTCCTGCGTTTGGTCGCAAGTGTAATTCATGCGGCAAGCAGGGCCACTTCGCCGCCGTCTGTCTTTCCACTCCAGCAACCACGCGTGGTGCCAGAGCTGTCGAAGATGAATCGCTCACGTCCCCGTCGCCATTCATGGGTGGTGTTGCAGAGCTGTCATCCAACGCCAGTCCTTCCCAGTCCACCGACGCCTGGTCAGTAAGTCTGCCTGTTTGCTCGACAAATTTGATATTCAAGATCGACACAGGTGCAGATGTATCATGTATCACGCACTCCACGTATCAGAATCTCGTACAACGCCCTGTACTCACACCATCCACTACCAAACTCCTTGGTCCATCTGGTGCACCTCTATCCATCAAGGGTCAGTTCACTGCAGACACCATGCACAAGAGTGAAGTGTTCTCTATGGAGATCGTAGTTATCGATGGTCCTGGATCTACCAACCTGTTGAGTCGCAGAGACTGCCTCCGACTTCGCCTGATCCAGCGTTTAGATGCAGCAGAATCGTGTACCAGCAAGCCAGCACAGCCCATCGGTTGTATGGTTGGGCCCCCAGCTGATATCAAGCTTGTGGACGACGCCACGCCGTACCACTGTGGTGTTGCCCGCCGTGTGGCTCTGCCTCTACAGGACAAGGTCACAGAAGAGCTCGCACGTATGGAGGAAATGGGCATCATCGTCCGGGAAACGGGTCCCTCTGACTGGTGCTCTCCTATGGTGCCGGTTCGTAAACCAAATGGTCGCGTACGGATCTGCGTAGACCTAAAGAAGCTGAACGGCAACGTGAAGCGCGAGCACTTCCCTCTTCCGACAGTTGAGGACACACTGGCTAGGCTCGCCGGATCTACTGTCTTTTCCACGCTGGATGCCAACAGCGGCTTCTGGCAAGTGCCTCTCACGGAGTCTGCATCCAAGCTGACCACGTTCATCACGCCTGTGGGTCGGTTCCGATTCCTCCGGATGCCATTCGGTATAACCTCTGCACCGGAAATCTTCCAGCGACGCCTGCAGGACTTCCTCTCCCACGTCAAAGGTTCCGAGGTATTCATGGACGACGTTCTGGTCCACGCCGCTAACGAAGCTGAACACGACCACCGGCTGGACACAACGCGCCAGGTCCTTGCCGACGCAGGCATCACTCTAAACCCCGACAAATGCCACCTCAAGCAGTCATCAGTCAAGTACCTGGGACACATCGTCAGCGGGTCCGGTGTGAAACCCGACCCCAGCAAAGTCTCCGCCATTGACGACCTCAAGGAGCCTTCGAATGTTCCTGAGCTTCGCCGTGCCTTAGGTCTCTTCACCTACGTCGCCAGATTCATCCCGGAATTGGCTACGATCTCAGCGCCCCTCCGTCAGCTCCTGCACACCGACACTGATAGGTTCTGGGACTCCCCGCAGCAGGACGCGTTCCGTCGGCTGAAAGAGCTCGTCGTTTCAGCCCCGTGCTTAGTGCACTATGACCCCAAGCGTCCCATCATGGTCAGTGCAGATGCCAGCAGCTATGGCATTGGTGGTGTTCTGCTCCAGAAGCACGATGGCGACTGGCGCCCAGTAGCCTACGCCTCCCGTTCCCTGACCAAGACGGAACAAGGCTACGCGCAGATCGAAAAGGAATGCCTCGCAGCGGTGTGGACGTGCGAGAGGTTAGACCAGTACCTCTTCGGCGCTCCCAGGTTCATCGTGCAGACGGACCACAAGCCGCTGGTGCCACTGATCAACACCAGAGACCTGGACAAGGTCCCCATCCGATGCCAACGAATGCTGCTCCGCTTCCTCCGGTACGAAGTCCAAGCCATACACGTTCCCGGCAAGGATCTGGTGGTGGCTGACACGCTTTCACGAGCGCCAGCATCGGCATCAGTTGACAACGTTCTGCAAGACGACATCGGCATGGTTTTATCAACCACTGCCGAAGATCTCACGAGTCCATCCGTTCTCGCCGACCTAGCCAAGGCTACGTCTGAAGATCCCGTGTTATCCAGTGTGATGCGCTACGTCATTCATGGCTGGCCTGCTACCGTCCCTGACGACATCAAGCCGTTCCATCGTGAGCGAGGCCAGTTGTCTCACATGCAAGGTGTATTGTGCCACGGCTTTCGCCTGGTTGTCCCGTCCGTGCTACAGCCTGAGATCCTCCAGAAGCTGCACGATGGTCACCAAGGTGTCACGAAGAGTAAAGCCCGTGCCCGCTTCTCGTCGTGGTGGCCAGGTATCTCTGCCGACATCGAGGCGTACGTCGCCAAGTGCACTACCTGTATCAAGCAGCGTCATCAGTCTCCAGAGCCTCTTCAGACAACTCCGTTCCCCGAGCGTCCGTGGCAGCGTATCGCATCGGATCTCTGTGATGTCGACGGCCGCCAGTACCTGATTACCGTCGACTATTTCTCCCGTTACATTGATGTCGCTTGTCTCTCATCGACTACGTCACGGGCCGTCATTACTCATCTGAAGAGCATATTTGCTGCCCACGGCTATCCGGACATCTTCGTCAGCGATAACGGGCCACAGTTCGCTTCCGACGCCTTTGCACAGTTTATGTCATCGTGCAACATCACGCATCGGACCAGCAGCCCGAAGCATCCTCAAAGCAACGGCGAAGCAGAACGCGCCGTGCAGACTGCCAAACGACTCATCCGTGCGCCAGGTGATCTACAGCAGTCCCTCCTAGCATATCGCTCCACACCCCTGGCCAACGGCTATTCGCCCGCCGAACTCTTGTACGGCCGCAGGCTCTGCACCAATCTTCCGTGCCCACCTGATCTCCTGCAACCCTCCTGGCCA